AACAAACAATACAAAACGAACTCCAAAACAATAGCAGAAGGTTTAGAAAAACTCAAGAAAGGTGCTTCAGCGGCAATCTTTCAATTAAGAGCAGGCTACAGCCCTCTAAACGATCATTTATTTAAAAGAAAACTAACCTCATCTCCTCTATGTACTAAATGTGGCATAAAAAAGAACACTCAACACTTCCTATTATTTTGCAGGCGATACACTAAAGCTCGTAAAACAATGAGAGCCAAACTTAGGAAGGAGAAAGTTAAGATCGATTGGAACAATTCCCAGAAGCTGCTGGATTCTCCCAAAGTGTTTCCGTTTTTAGCAGATTTCATTGTAGAGACTAAAAGATTTGTACATGTTCACTCTTTCTTACAGGAGCAAAACCGAGGAGAGCGGCTGCAGGGCAGAAAAAGGATGTCTTAGATCAAAAGATACAGTTTCTTGTGCTATCTCTCCACCAAGAACCCAATGGGACGTGTTTGCATAAAGGTGTGATAGATTTCCACCGAGAACCCAATAGGGACGTGCTCACATAGAGGTTCTTGAAGAAAAACACTAACTAACAACTCATTAAAGAGTAAATATATATATACATATATATATAAAAGAACGAAAGAAAGACACACCAAAAAAGTGTGAAAAAAGTAGGCCTTATAGCCAATCCCTCCACCGAGAACCCGAATCGGGACATGTTTGCATAGAGGTGGAACAAAAAAATCCACTGAGAACCCAGTAGGGACGTGCTCACATAAAGGTGTTTGTAAAAAAAAAAAAAAAAAAAAGAAGAACAAATCCTCAGATCTAAAGACATCCGAACTACTGCTATGACTAAATGCCGTCTCTCCAAGGTTTAAGTCTCCATTTTCCTAACTTGTTCAGCTAGTGTTTATGCAATACAGCCTTATGCACTTAAAAAAAAAAAAAAAAAAAAAAAATATCCATCTCACATGCCTGCGGAGGATGGATGATGCAACTTTGCAAAAGAAGAATTCCCTATAATTCCCATCCTCTTTGCAAAGTTACTTTACCCCACATTGGCCAATCTTTTCCATGGAAAATTTCTATTCAATCCTGTGTTTCTTCTCACTTACTCTGTTCCATTTTTTCTTCCTTCTTTCTTCAAAAAGAACTCTCACCAAGACTTGTTTGACCTCATCTTAAA